CCCCAAAACCCCAAAACCCCAAAACCCCAAAACCCCAAAACCCCTTAGGACATAGATAACTCTCAATCAAAATTAATTTAATACTATAAATTAAAGGATAAACGCGATATCTTTTATATTAGAGATTTAAAATATTTAGAAATTCCCAACCTCAGTAGATGACTTTGAATATCATCTTCCAAACGTTCCAATCATTTTTTCCTGTTCTTTATTTGCTAGCTTATTACTTATGAAACGCTTTGAAGAATCATTCTATTAATCTTGGGATTCAGTTTTTTATTTTGGTAAGCTATCTGTAATTTTCGACACTGCTCTTTTGCCAGAGCCGAAATTCGCAGTTTGATTTAGAGAGCCAAATGTATCAAGCACGCTCTCATTATCAAGATGTATTGTTTAGTCCGCCTTTATCGGAGATTAATATATATTATTAACTCCTAGCTGGTAAGGATCTTCCTTTTTCTAGTCAGTTGAAGTAACACCAAGTTCTTTAGCAAGTTAATCCAAATCATTGATGTTGGTGTTTTTATTGTTTTCAAATTCAGAGTTTTTATTAAGATTTCGTAATTTACCAATTTATAAATCAGATTAGTCTTAAATGTTTATAGTGTCAGAATTCAATATGTTGTCCATGTTGTTGGCAACATTATTTCTTTTCTTAATTTTAACTATTTTTTTCTTTTTTCTCGGACTTTAATTAACAACATCAGGATATACTCCACTATTTGCTGTAGTATAGTAGTTATTTACCTAATTATAGATGTCCCCATTAATGTTGATTGTATTAATATTTAAATGGGTAGAGGATGAGGGAGCATGTCTCATTGATGGTAAAGAGGTATTTAAAAACAAATTTTACCCGGGCTCCATGCTATTTTGTAGAGTATTATTACTATACTAGCCATTATTCTATCTCTTCTTTACCTTTTTAATTCTTTTGCGCACATCCTTAGCCTATGTGTTTTGAGCAGTTGATTTATTGAAACTTAAGAAACTTTGAGACTAGAAGTGAATCATTAGATCATTTTATTATTTAGATGTCATAAAGCCCCCGCTCTGAGCAAATGATGATAATGAACTTTTAAGACTTTGAATTTACTGCTTGATTTTATGTCTCTACATTTTAGATTTCTTATCAGTACCTCGAACAGAACTTAATGTTTTGGCTGCAACTGCCACTACATGTGGCCAATAGTCAGGGATTCTTAAAGTCTATCTTAAAAAGTTTTCGATGCTAGTTTTTGAATAAAATAGGATGTAGGCCTCTGGTGACTAAATCTTCTGCAAGTTCTTAATTAATTTGATCTCTTAATCGTTAAAATAGTACCAATTCCTGCTTGCATGATTCCAAGAATAAGCATAGTAATGACCTTATGTCATCGAACCCTCATGGTTGGCAACTGAAAACAGATCATACATTGGCTTCTCCCTTTAAGGACTAGACACATAAGGTGATAAGTCTAAATTATTCATAGGAAAACTAACCATATCATTGATCTTAAGGTATTTATTTCTTCCCATAAACTTGAATCTTTTGAGACATATTATTAGAATAGACGGCAATTTCCAAATATCTATCTTTTTACTAGCTGGCTGATGTTTTTTGCATTATTCGCAATACCATTTATTTTAGTTATCCAATATCTCTTGCTTACTGAAATCCTCTAGGCAATCCTACAGCTATATTGGCTTGCTTGGATCCTTTTAATTAGCTATTGGAACAGATAGATACATCAAGCAATCAAACTTTGTTGACTTAAAATTACAGACTAAGCATTGAAGTGTAGATTTGAGCTATCCTTGAAATAAATCTACAATGACGGATTTGTTTTTTTATAGATAAGTTTTCCAACTTTCCATTGCCTCCTCTTCATCTAATCTTTATTTTTATCCAATAACCATACTGTCATTTTGATTAGTAGGTTCTGGAATTTTTGGGGCTTTTTTAATATTTACTTGAGTTTATACTTGTTTTTGTTGTTGCAGTACACTACTATTTTTTCCGTCGAAAGAGACATTTAAGGGTTAATTAATCAGAGGGGGGTTTATCTAAGGATTTTAATAGGCTCTATTTAAATCTTCATGAAGACAGTCGAGTAAATAGCTGATAAACTCCTAAGTATCTTATTATGATCCGTTTGCAAACTAAATTAGGTAATAATCTAAAATACTTACATGAGGTGCCCATTTTTCTATAACTTTACAGAATCTTATTGGGTAGATTTTTGTATGCTAGTTATCTCTCCACATTAACCTAAAAATTATTGAAGTCTTGAAATTAAAGTATACTTACTTCACTAATTTACCATATGCTCTGCTGACTTCCCCTTTATACCCCATTGGATTCTGATCATTTATTTCCTCATAATGCAAATTACTAATAAAGTAATCAGCTAGAGGTTAGCAAGCACTTAAACATTATATTGCAGTATTGATAAAGCAGGTATTACCAAGGTTATATAGCCCTACTAGTCCAAGAGACGTGGTAGGTTGACTTGGGATCGTGATATTTGGATTATGCTCATTGGCCATAGAATCTGGGACATGTAGTCTATTTGGGATTTTTTCGTAATCTTTTTAAAGATCATTTGGCCTCCTAAACTAACCAGGGTTTAAAATAATTGTTGTCTAGGTTGCATATAAGTCATGATTAGTTTGCTTTTGTATCTATTATTCAATCAGATTGAAATTTGGCTGAGTCAATTGCTAGATTAACTATCGAATAGCAGTTTCGTTATCCATTGGAAGTTAGTTTTGTTGTTTTTAATAATTTTTGGGGTAATTATTTTGCAAGTATATTTGCTACTGCTCATCATTCTCTTCAAATTCCTCTTCCACTTCTTCCTCATAGTATTCTTCTTCATTATCATCTTCGTAGTCAACAAGAACTGAGTTGGATGCTTCTTTCTTTCCCAAATATAGATGCTGATTAAATTGTTCATCATCCTCTACAACCTCTTCATCTTCATCATCACTTTCTATATCCTCATCAATTACTGCATTAGGATCGACTTGCTATTGTACATGTACTTTAACTTTCTCAAAACGAGAAACTCCTAATGGTGTATCCCCTTAAATAACAACAGCTGGTATGCCAGTATTTATATTGGTAAAATCAGAAATGACATCTTTTGTAGTGATGGATTTCTTTGATTAACATAGTCCCATTACTATTACAATAAATATACTTATTCTACTGTATTCGCCTTAAAAATATTATTAAGAAATTAAGATCTTATAATTAATCACCAAGACTAACTGTTACTAATATATTTTAATTCAATAGATCAAAAGGCTAATTCATATTCATATTTACAAGACCAAGTGATCCAATCAAAATGGAATTCATCAAAGATACCTAGTAATATCCCCTAATCTAATTCTATACTTGCTACTTGAGAGTTATTGCGCACTATTGATGTTTTGAAGCTGTTCTGCAGTTTTAGTTGAGGCAACACTGTTTCTATGGATTTGAATGTTATTCTAGCTATTCATAGGAGATTACATTATAGGTAGTATTCGTTCCTGAGAATTGGATGTAATCTCTATACTGTCTTATCTTATGGCAGACCCATTAATTGAAATTTGTATTTTCTTCTTTCTATGCATGGTAGAGTTCTAAAGAAGCAAATGTGACTGTTTTCTCAATTTGATTAATTGAATTTGAGATTACCTTGCATTCATAAGAGAACTGAGCTAAAATTGGTGGCTAGGGGATAGATTGTGTTAAGTAGTATTCAGCAAAGTTTGAGTGTCATTCAGCAAGTTTAAATTTGGAATTTACTATGTCTGACGTTTCATAAAGTTATTAGCTGTTGTATTTGGCTTTATTTCCAATTTTTATGTTTGCTGCTGCTTATCTGCAATATTACTCAGATTTATGACACTGTATATGTTTCTGGTCGGCTCACTTTTCTTATGCGAGCTTGGTTGCTTTATCCTTTACTATAAGATTTATGTGAGTCTATGAATGGATCCCTCCTAGCTTCTATTGACAAAACTAATTCTATTTCTTTAAGGTAATTTGTTCAATACAATCTGCGAAGTGTTGTTTTCTCTTTCAATCTCCTCTTTTGAATTCTGATGAGTAAGTTCTTTATTTGAAGACTTATTATGGTTTCCAAATTAGAGATTGTATTGCTTTTACATTATAAATCTAACATTCTTGGTCTTAGGATTTTTCAAGTCGATATGCTCATTGATAACTGATTTGATGACATTCTTAATGCTGTTCTCTTAAGCCTCAATCTTCTGTTTTTCTAGAAATTTCTATTGTTTAGGAGTCATTACTTCAATGTTGCAGTTACTCATGTTTGCATTTGTATTTTAAATCAGGATATTAGTTGAAACTCCAGAGGGAAAATTATTTGATAAATATTTTTTACCAAACGTTGGCTTGTTTACTGTCGTTTAAGGTCTGACTTCTGGGCCCTCAAAATTATACTTATTTTTTACTAATTCATTTTATCTCCTCAAGACTAGTTTAGCCATGCTAACTTGCTTGATCTGTAAAGGGATAAACTATTTCTGCTTTCAGCTGTATTGTGTCCCAGTACTGATCGGAGTGATAAATAATTGCGGAGACTGAACAAGAGGAATATTTGTTAAATCCCTATCCTCAATTTGAAACCTCAGTAGATTGGCAGGGTAGTTTGTCAACCTTTAAGGAGAATTCCCCTCAGTGTTGACATGGATACTTCTCTTTTATATATGAATTTATGCAGTTGATGCTCTAGCATCTTCAAGCCAAGGGGAAATTTCGTTTGATTTAAATTGTAAATTTGAAAGAGAGGGTGCATTTTAATTTTCTTCTGGCTTTGGGAAAAATATGGACCTAGGTATATTTGGTTTTGCTTAATTATTTGAACTTGTGCTTGCATTAATCTATGATTTCTAATGTAGTCTAAGCATATTATGTTTTATATTTGAATTATTGAGAGGTAGCTCCTCGTGCACAATTATATTTTCTTATCTCCTCCTTATCTTTACTTCTATGCAAGGTGAAGAGTCTTTTATTCCTTGGGTTTTATTGAAACTAGAGCTGTTTAAACTTCTGGCAGAAGTGCTTTTTGTGCGTTTTGGCATTAGCATAGATGTCTGCTGTTCCTGTTTTTTAATTTTATCTTCTGAGTCCGCGCTACATTCATCTAATGCCCTGTATATAGAATTTCTTTTATAATCTAAATCTGAGCCCATTACACCATCTTCAAGGATTTTGCTGCTAGATCTTTACTGTGCACTTTGCTTTCTCTTTCTAGTTTGACTGCCTGATATGGAATCTCTTTGCAGAATAATTCTTCACTGGCCGTTAAAGTATGGAGAGAAATTTTCATTTCTATTAGAATCAATATACCTGTCCATTTTTGATAAAGATGTACTTGAGTCAAAATTAAAAGGATTTTAGCTGGTTTAAGCAGACTAGTGCTTGTGCACATGCTTATGGTGAATAAAATTGTAGTCATTGTTGGATCGATCACTTAGGCCATGCGTCCTCATTATATGATCCAAGTGGGCTTTGAGTCATTGATCAGCTTCGGGATATTCTCCGTCACTCGAGATAATGTTTGATATGTTGTTTGATATCAATTAGTTTTGACTTAATTAATTCTGCATTATTATTAATTTTAATAATTCCAAGCTCATTCTGATTTACAACCTAAGTTGATATTTTAATTTAGTTTCCTTTCAAGGATTTTACACTGTCATCTGGGGTTTTGGGGTTTTGGGGTTTTGGGG